ACGAGTCAATAAGATGACAAGTTTCAGTTATACAACAAACACTGTATCATTGCTTTGCCAACACCCACATAAAAACTCATCCTCTCTCAATCAAAAGTGATGGATGTCAAATCCTTCTGCATTTTTCAGTGTGACTGAATTCCAGCTATTAAGAAGGTGATCAAGTAAACAGAGAAAACCATCTATCGTGATCATAACTCCTTAAAAAAAAAAATCCTGACACGTAAAGAGCATATTTGAAAATCCTTCCACATGGATTCATCAGTTCATGAAAAAAAAGAAAAGTATCTCAGTGAAAGTGAGAGTTGCTTCCCAATGGGGTACATTTGATCCTTTTGCTTATAACTCAAGTATAAATAGATGACATGAAGTCTGGCCCTCAGAAGTTTACAGCTCACTGTCTTCTACCTCTCCTGCCAACCAAAGAAGAAAATAAGACCTCAAAATGAAGGTAATCTCCTTCCAGAAGTTCTTAGATTAATTATTTTTCATTTTTAACCTCTGGCCTGGTTTAGTCACTAAGTTGTGTCCGACTCTTGCAGCCCCATGGACTGTAGTCTGCCAGGCTCCTCTGTCTGTGGGATTTCCCAGGCAAGTATACTGGAATAGGTTGTCATTTCTTTCTCCAGGGGACCTTCCTGATCCAGGGATGAACCTGCATCTCCTGCACTGCAGACAAATTCTTTACCAACTGAGCCACAAGGGAAACCCCTTTCTAACCCCTATCTTCTGTCTTTTTCTTACACAGGCCCCAGAGGCTAGCTCATAAACCAAATCTACAATTTCCCTCTAAGCTCCAATAACATCTCTCATTTAGAGAAAAATACCTGCATGTAAATAAAATCATTTTGTACTTCTGTATTCTCTGAAAATGATGCTTAAATCCAAAGATGTCTTTTCCACAAATTTTTTTTCTCTTTCTTTGAAAGCAATGATTCCTTAATTTTAGATAGCTATTCAAGAGAAAAACACAGTGTAACTTTCTTCCAAGGGGGAAGCACACCAAGATTTCTTTGACACTATTTAGAAAAGAATTACAACATTTTTTTTAAAAAAAGAGTAAAAAGAAGAAAATCTCACTGACCCCAAAAAAAGTTGTCATATAGCTTATAGGTTTATAGATTATGAAAATCTGTAATTTGTCAAGATTCTTCTGGCAAAATGTTCTTTGGAATCATTTTCTTCTGAAAGCTGAAAAGCATTTTCTAAGATGCTGCCAGCTCTAAAAACAACCTTTCTGATCCCTTGAAAAGCCAAGTTCTACTTTTAATAGTGCTATTATTTTTCTTTGTTTTCAAAGAAAAAAGTGAAAAGAAGGAACTACAGCCAAAGTGGTAAGTTTACTCTACTCATGCCTCAGGCTATACATGATTTCACACAGTACATATGAAGAAGGGATTGATTTTTTTTCCTTTAAAAACAACATATACCTCCATGGTACATATGCAATATTTAAATATAAGGAAAAACAGCACCCCCTTTCACCCCAGGCTCCAGTTAACAAAAAAGTTTATACAAAGAGACAGTCATGAGCATAAGATTTGCTAATAGACATCAAAAGCAAAGGCAACAAAAGCAAAAACAAACAAGTGGAACCACATCAAACTAAAAAGCTTCTGCCCAGCAAAGGAAACCATCAAAAAAATGAAAAGAAATGGGAGAAAATACTTGCAAATCATATATCTGATAAGAGATTAATATTCAAAATATATAAAGAACTCAAACAACCCAATGGCCAAAAAAAAAAAAAAAATTCAAACAGTATGATTTTTAAATGGCAGAGAATCCGAATAGACGTTTTTCTAAAGAAACTATACAGATGACCAATAAATGCATGAAAAGTTACTTGACATCACTAATCATCAGAAAAATTCAAATCAAAATAAGCTATTACCTCATACCAGTAACAATGGCTATCATCAAGAAGACAAGAGATGGTAAGTGTTGACAAGAATGTGGAGAAAAGGGAACCCTTGTGTACTGTGGTCAAGACTGTAAATCCTACAGTGCAGTCACTATGGAAAACAATATGAACCTTCCTCAAAAAATTAAAAATAGAACTACATATGATCCAGCAACCACACTTCTGGGTATATACCCAAAGGACATTAAAACAGGATACTGAAGATATAATATATCTGTCCTCCCGTGTTCACTGTAGCATTTTTCACAATAGCTAAGATATGAAAATAACCAAAGTGTCCATCAACAGATGAAGGGATAAAGATGATGTGGAGATTTGTGTATGTGCATGCGTGTACACAACAGAATATTATTCAGCCATGAGAAGGAAGGACATCCTCCCATTTCCAACAACATGGATCAACCTTGAGGACATTAGGCTAAGTGAAATGAGTCAGACAAACTGTATGATATTGCTTATATGTACAATCTGAAAAAAGTTAAACTCATAAAAACAGAGGCCAGAATGGTACTTATCAAGGGCTAGGAGAGGGGAGGTACGAGAGAAGGGAAGGTATGGATCAAAGAGCACAAACTTCTAGTTATAAGATGACTAAGTTCTAGGGATCTGATGTGCAGCATGATGGTTATAGTTAACAACTAAATTATATGTGAAATTTGCTAAGAGTAAGTCAAATGATCTCACCACAAAAGAGAAATGGTAATTATCTGATGTGATGCAGGTGTTAGCTAATGCCATGGTGATAATGATTCTGCAATATACAAGTGTATCAAATCAACACGCTGTAATCTCAAGTTATACATCAGTGGTATCTCCATGAAGCTGGAGAAACAGATCTCCGATCAAATCAAAATGGCTCATAAGACAGCTGACACCATGACAGACTGCATTAATAGTAAAGAGTCAGACGCTACTTAGCGACTGAACAACAACAATGATAAAAATTAAAATGTCAGGTGAACAAAATATGCGGTATCCAAAAATCTCAATAAGACAGTTTAATGGTTCAGATTCTCCCATTTCCATCAAAGACTATTTTAACCCTCCCATGTGAAATGGACAGAATCTATCAGATTACTAGTATTTCAAATGGATTTTTAAATGTTAATTTTACTACAAAATTTACTCAAGTCAGTCACTTAAAGAACTTATGTCAAATAATGGGTGTCTTGAGTACTTCACATTTTAGAGTTGTCAAGACACAATGCAAATCTAAAGGGGGAAAACAGGCAGGCTTTGAATAGCACTTAAAGAAATACAAAGAAGGGAAGTTAGAAGTCAAGGAGGGAAACTCTGAGATAAAAGCTGAGTGAAGAGAAAGACAGAAATCAACCAGAGACCTTATCAGGGCGCAGGGCCGCACTCTGCCGCATTATCACTGACCTGTAACCTCTTCTCCAGCTCACAGACAACCCTTGAGTACTCCAGGACTAAGTGGATGTTTTAAAAAGTTCTTGTGTCATATTTACTTTTTCCGACGACCCTTATCAGAAGCCTGATGTACTCAAGCTCCATAATTCACACACTCCAATTACCTACCTAACCACATATCCGAGAGGAATAACCAGAGGTGTAAAATGCCATCCTCTTAAAAAGAAAAATAATGGGAATGATTAGGATTTAAAATGGACAGGCTCATTTTTAAGGGCATAGTCACAAATAAGCAGCATCAACATTGTGCTCTAGATAACTAAAAAGAATCAAGTAGGGCTTGTTTAAAAAACATTCCTGAATAAATGTATAATAAATCCCTAACTTTAAAATAAGTTGTATGACAAAAGCCCATTTCATTACCAAGATGCATTTCCCCATGAAGTACTATAAATGGTCATTCATTTCCAAAGCTGATCCATCAATATCTATTTAACCCATAATCTACTGACATGCAGCACAGTGTGGAATGAAATGTGGTAGAAGTTTTTGTAGAACTTCAGATGAATGTTGCCCTGTATAAAATCCAATTCTTTCCTACAAAGCTCTCAGATAGAGTTTATCAGTGAAAGGAGACATCTTGAGAAGTTACCATCTACATACCCTTCCTATAACAAGCTCATGAATGCAAAACTTCAAAAACATTTCAGTAAAACTAAAGGAAGGAAATCCTAAAGAATGCACAGGGAAAAAAAGGAAAAAAATATATAATAATAATTTTAAGAAAAACACACCGCAAAATGTTATGGGATCTGAACTGCCTACATAATATGACACAAGGAGTTCAGCTAAAGTAGAAGCTGATGGTCCCAGTAGCCCTCAATGGTAAGTAGATTTCGACCCATCAATAATGTTTGTCTGTGTAGCTAACTTTGCTGCAAGCAAACATTCCATGTTTTTGAGAAATTCCACTTAAAAGTCTTTCTCTATCCTAGCCAATTCACACGTGCAAAAACTTACCATGCTAATTATCATTATCTTAAAAAGAAAAATCCATCTTTTACCTACACATAATTCAAACAAACAAAAATATGCTTTTAAATGAAAAGTACATAATTTGAATGAGTGCATCTTTTCTATTAATTTTGACCTTAAAATTTGGACAATATAATTTTTAATGTAACTTTCAATACACCAAAATAAAATTAAGGCACTGTTCTTAACAGAAACTAGTTTGGGTTTGGACTGTTGTCAAAATAAATCTGAACTGTGTAGACTACGTGTGCATGCTAATTCGCTTCAATAGTGTCTGACTCTTTGTGACACTATGGACTGTAGCCCACCAGACTCCTTTGTCCATGGGATTCTCCAGGCAAGAATACTAGAGTGAATTGCCATGCCCTCCTCCAGGGGGTCTTTCTGACCCAGGGACCAAACCAGAGTCTCTTGCATTGTCTCCTGCATTGCAGGTGGATTCTTTACCGCTGAGCAAGCAGGGAAGCCCAAATAAGACTATAAGGCTCTTCTAACCAATAATGTAATTTCAGGCTCATAGCTACTTAAAATATTGTTTGCTTACCTCTTCTTTTCAAACCACGAGTACACAGTGAGGTCAATAAGGTGCTTCATTTCTTTTACCTCTCTCAAAACACTATCATACTTGTTGATACACAAGGAACTAGCTTTCTGTGGGAAGGCTTTTCACAAGAAGACAGTATCACTTACCCCTCCTGCCTTCAGCAACTTTCTTCTGAACTCTTCTGTGGGGTTGTTGAAAGTCAGCTTTTCACAGCGGAGGTGATTCACTGGTGGATGGCCTTCAAGATGCAGGAATAAGTCATAATCAAAGCGAACTTTCTTAGGTTCTTCCTAGAAGTTAAAAAAAAAAGAACACAGAGAGTTAGGCATAAATAGAGATTTAGAGAGCAAAACTTTAGTCCTGAGAAGGATCAGAAAAGATCCAGAGATCTAACAGCTATAGTGTCAAAGAAGTGCCAGGGGAAAAAAATCATCATGGAACTATCTACAAAGCAAAATGGAAACATCTGAAAAATTAGTTTCTTGTCTTCGAGGAAAAGGCAAAAGAATAAATTCATCATCTTTCTTGCAATCTCTCAAGAGATATAACACCACTAACACAGTCACTCAACTGGAGCCCTAAGATACCCTTGAAGCCACTCTTCCTCCCCTGACTCTACCACCTACACACATCATCAAGAGCAGCCATTTTCTCTTTTAAAATATTTCCTGAAGAAGCCCTCTAACCCATGCCTGGCATGCTCTTACACATTGCCCAGACTACTATAAAATCCTTCCTCTAGCAGTTCTTCCTACTTCAGGATAGATTATCGATTCCTTCTTCATTCAGGCCTCCAAATTATCCATATAAAACAAAAACCTAGCCATTTTCACTCCTTGATTAAAATTTCACAAGTTCCCAATGCCATCAGAATAATAATCTGAGGTCACCTATATGCCACTAGCATCTACTCTTGGTTCCGTATCTCACCATAGCCTTTCCACCCATCTGATGGTCTAGCCACATGCTGTGGTTGGTTGCTCGCAGATTTTACTCATTCTCAGTTAACCCTGGGTTTCACTCTTGCTTTACATTACCAGGGTCATTATCTACCTCCATTTCTCCACCTTCTGCTTTACCTGGGTAACTTCTACTCATCTCTCTCTATTCAGGTTTTATTGGGAAGGCTTCCTTGAACTCCAGTCCTAACTGTCTCTCCTCTGTTCTCTGTGCCTCTCTCTCTTATCCTTGCCACGTCTTAGAATAACTCTCTTCTCACTATCTCCTTTTACCCTGCTGGATTATAAGATCTTTGAAAGTAGGAATAATGGCTGGGTCATCATTGTACCCTCAACAACTAGCTTAGTGCCCTGTGCATCATAAAAATGCAATAATGCCTGTGAAATGAATAAACATATGGCATTTTCCTGGAGGACAAAACAGCACATATCCAAGAGAATACAATAATTATAATTCCATGATACTCAAGGTTCTACTCTCCAGTCATTACTTTAGCTAGCTAAACATCTAAACCTTTCTACTGACAGATTCTCAGGCATCCACAGGGAAATGAATACTCAGTATAACAGTAACAATAATATGTTCTTTAACATTTATCTCATTTAATTCTCATGGCTCTCCTTAGGGTCAACTGTCAGCTCTGTTTCACAGATGAGGAAATTAAAGCACTTAGAATTTATTACTTTATATAAAAGTCCTTTTGTATTATAGATATTAACCATCTCTGTGATATGTTACCTTTTTTTCATTTGTCATTAGCTTCGCCATTTTACTTTTTTAATAACAGCAATTTATGTTTTTTTAATAATAGCTTTATTGAGAAATAATTCACATATCATAAAATTTACCCATTAGGAGTGTAATACTTACTGGGTTTTAGTACATTTACAGAGTTATGAAATTATCACCACCTTCTAATTTCAGATTTTCATCACTCCAGAAAGATATCTCAAACTCATTAGTAGTCATTACCCAGTCCCCCAGATCCTGCATCCCCTGGCATCACTAATCTATTTCTGTTTCTATGGAGTTGCTTATTCCAGACATTTTGCATAAATACACGAACATACATAAAATATATACACAATATGTGATCTTTTGTGACTGGCTTCTCATACTCAGCATGATGTTTCTGAGGTTCATCCATGTTGTAGCATGTGTCCGTTCCTTTTTACAGCTGAATAATAACACATCATATGGGTATTCTTGATTTTGGTTATCCATTTGTTGGTAAATAGAAATGTGGGTTGTTTCCATTTCTGGCCATTATGAACAATGCTGCTATGAACATTTGTGTACAAGTTTTTTTTTTGTATGGACATAATTTTCATTTCTCCTGGGTATACACCTAGGAGTGCAATTTCTGGGTCATAAGGTAACTCTATGTTGCACATTTTGTAGGAACAACCTTACTGTTTTCCAGGGTGACTGCACCATTTTAAAATCCCACCAGCAATATGAGGAATTTGTGTGTTTTTTACTTACAGTATTTTCTAAAATTACACAAATAAACAATGTTTTTCTTTTTCAAAAAAGAGTTTGTTATATTACTAACGCATAATATAACAATGTGATTTGAACCCAGTTCTTCTGACTAAAAAGTCTTAGCAACTGAAACTGTCAGAATGTAGGCAATCACCTACTACATATTCATGGGCTTCACCTCTTCATTCAAACTTACCTAAATCATAGTCTCTACTCATTCACTCACTGTCTCTCACTTCTATTACTCATCTGGCAGAAAACTTGCTGCTTCTTTCCTCGATCAGAATGCCGTTCTCTCTCAGGGTGCCATTTTCCTCACACTTACTGGCATTCCTTCTTAGTTTTCATCACAAGCTGCTGTGTCTCCTTTTTCATTGACTCTTAAATGCCCTGTATCTTTTCGCAAAGTTCCCCAGGGAGACAACACCCACTACAGGAAGTTAGTTCCTCCTACTGTGAGGCTGCGCCATGACAGGCAGCCTAGATTAGGAGTAGGTCTGGTTTTCCGGGGTAACATGATTATCAGGCCACCTGGAGCCAGCCAATCAACATGCGCCTAGCAAACAAAAGGGAACCTATCAGGGGAAAGCTGAAAAAGCCCGTCGAACACCCAAGCTTGAAAAAAGCCCGCAAAGGTTTGGGCCAATAAGATTACTTTGCAAACAGGTAACCAATCCACTTAAGCCAGCCACCAACTGCTTATGCACACCCTATAAATTTGGGTAACAGTTTGGGCCCAGGGCTCTCTGACCCTGCACCACCGCGTTGGTTGCAGCAGGAGCCCTGGCTCGAGTCAGTAATAAACTTCCCTTTTTTTGGGAGTTGCATTGTCTTGGAAGCCTTCTCTCTTCCCGCTCGGGGATTCAGACATCGGGCATAACACTACATGACCACGACTCCCCTCTCTTTACCTCCAGCCCAGCACCTGACTCCATTTGCTTGTGTTCCAGTCTAACCACACCTCCACTGGGATGAACCGCAGCAGCAGCAAAGTCACGCATTAGCCTAAACTGAAGTTATCTTCATGTGTCCTTTCTCCTAGACTATATGATGGCAAACAGAAATCTTACCACTTACCAAGGCTAACATACACAACAATCATCCCTAACACTTCCTTCTCCCTTACTCATCAAAGTCAAACTGTTCCTGAGGTCTGTTTAGTATCCCTCCTAAGGAGCTCTCAAATCTATGCCCTCTGCCCTAGTCACGCTAACCACTGCCTTCGCGTGGACTTTGATCATTCCTCATCTGGTTGCCTCTGTTTTTAAACTTACCCCTTTCTACCACCCACAATGACAAGAGAGTGATCCTTCTAACACAAAAGTCAGATTACATCTTCCCATTGACATAAAAGCCTTTAATGGCTCATCATTTTCTACAGGATAAAATCCCACTTCCTGGTAATAACCATTACAGTCTTTTAATACCTTTCCTGCATTTCCTTTGTGCTCTTACTAGGCTCTGTCCTTTCACAAAGGTGAAGCACTTGCTGTTCCCCAGTGTTTCCTACTATCTCAGTCAATTTGCCTTTCACATATAGTCTTCCCCATTGTCAAAAATGTTTCCCCTCCCAGCAAACTTTCCTCTTTTAATGCAGACTCATCATTCAAGACCTAACTGAAGCAAGAACTCCTGGGAAAAGTCTCCCAAACCCTCCTAACCCATCTGGATTAGACATCCCTGTTATAGCATTCCTTTACTAATGTAATTATCATAATCATTTTTTTTTAGCTTATCTGCCTTTTCTCTGAATTGCAAAATAGTCATTATAACCATAGAATTCATTTGAAAAATAAGAAGGGCCATTTTCTATCTTACAATTGGGAATGCAAATTGGTAAAGCCTTTGAGAAGACACACTAGCAATATCTATCAATATATTAAATGCATACAATGTTTAACTCAGTAAATCTGCTTCTAAGAATCTCCTCCACAGAAATACTCAAATATGTGTGCAAAGGTATGTAAATGTAGCTATAGATGTAAAATAAAATGTTCGAGGTAGCATTGTTTATAGTAGACAAAAAATATGGATAATCTGCATGATATCATTACCATGGAATACCATGCAGATATTTCCAAAAACTTGGAAAGGCCTATCACTAGGGAAATTAAAGGCAAGTCACAGGAAAATATTAAAATGTGATATATTATACTCTTGCCAAGCTCTACACAGACATACTTTTTTATCTATGCAAATGCATGGGGAGAAAACTGGAAAGGCCATACCAAATAGTTAACAATGATCAAATGAAGTGAAAGGAATAACTCCTAAGTTTTATTCCATTCACTTTTACTAGCAGTATACTCCCGCACACTTTCTAAAGGAAAAAAAAATATACTGATGAATATAATAATTACCAGATTAAAAAGAGAGAGGTAGTAACATCACTTTACAATTCACATCAGTTTATAACCAAGAGAAAAAAGAAGGGGAAAAAAAAAAATCACTTTTCAGTAAAACTAAGGCTAAATGACCACAAAAAGTGGCTATCTTTGCATGAATCCTCAGGGCAATTTTCTTTCAAAAATTTTTTATAGTAAGTAAAAAGTACCCATAAATTTGTGTTCTGACCAACTGAATATCTTTCTCAGAGGGCTGACATCAATCTAACGTCAATCTATGCTCCATGGAAAAGATTCTTCTTCAAAGTTCAAACAAGGAAGCACGTATTTATTCTCCATATAAAACGAATACATTTCCTAGAGGTTGGAAACCTGGTTTTGGCAACATTAAATTATTCCTCTCAGTCTGCTTCAGTCCTTGACATTTACTTATGTACTTTTTTGAGGACAGAATGAAAGAGAGAAGCATGGGATCTTTTCAAACCTGAAGTGCTACAGTCAATTATGTTTCAGTGGGCCTGTTGGTTTAGTTTCTGAAACACACATGATTCTCACAGACAGGCTTGTTTCATTGCATACAACCACAGAAAAACAGAATAAACAAACAAGAACTCAAAACAAATACTGTCACTCCACCACCTCTCTTGACTCTGACCTCTCAAATAAGTGAGCAAAACTGAAGACAAGCTTATTGTAAGCAGGAAAAGTACTAGGATGGAGATGGGACCAAGGACAAAATGATATATACTGAATATGTGGTGGCAGGCCCCTTCCAATACCAAGTGGAAGTCTTTTGCTGCTTTCTCTCATCCCCTTTGAAGACCTGAAATTATACTTTTTCATAAACCATTATTATAATAGATGTTCTTTCTACAAGACAGAATTAAGTAAACTCCAGGGATAAAGACAATGACATACACTCAAAAGAAATGAAATGAACATTCTGGAGAAATGGCCCAGACCTACTAAATTTTCACCCATGAGTCATTTCAGTACGAAGAGATATAAGAAATACATCCAGCTTGAAGGTCCAGAATAAAAGACAGCAAAATTTTGCTTTCTAAGATACTCTAAGATAAATTAAAAGAGGTGACACAGCAATAATTTTAACTAAAGAATCAATAACATACAGAAAAGTACTTAAAATACTACACCCATGCATTTTCCACTGAGTTTAAACAGATGATAACACTTTTACCATGTTAGTTTGCCTTTTTCTCTAAAGAAATAAAGTTTTATAAATACAGGCCTTTCCACCCCTCTTCCCCCAGTAAACCATGCCTTTTGGTTCCTGTGCTGTCCTTCCCACTCTGGCTCTTGTACTATATATGTCTGTCTCTGTAACCTCATTTATTCTTGGCTTCATACATAACCGATATCGTAACCGTATACAACAACTTCTGTAACATTTAAGTCATCATTTTTGTTTTATACACATGTCCATCTTGCTACATTAATTGCTAGATAGCATTGTGTGCATTATTAACCCATTAGTAATTAACCCACATCTCTACAATTAGGTATATCCTGGCACAGTGGTAAAGAATTTGTCTGCCAATGCAGGAGACGCAAGGGATGTGGGTTCGGTTCCTGAGTCAGGAAGATCCCCTGGAGGAGGAAAGGGCAACTCACTCCAGTATTCTTGCTGGGAAAATTCCATGACAAGAGGAGCCTGGTGGGCTACAGTCCATGGGGTTGCAAAGAGTTGGGCATGACTGAGCACATGTATGTATGTATGTATGTATGTATGTATGTACTTTTTCATATTATAAACACTGAAATACTTTCCATTGTGCACCTGGGAGGGGGTGGGGGTGGGGGGAAATGGCAATTATTAAGTATAAAATCTTAAAGAAAATCTAAAACTAGAAAATAGAAATCAACTAATCTGGACACTAAATAGAATATCTACTAAACAGTGGTGAGCCAACATGTCTATTTCACAGTGACTCCCAAGGAATAACTATTTTCCATCTCGAGTGCATCTTTCTTCTTTCATATTTTAAGAAATTGAAACTTCCTCACAAGTGAATAAATAGTACATCTTTCAGTCACAAGAGTTGCTCCCCAAATTACCAAGGCTGCATTTGTGTGTGCCCACATATTACACACATTATTTGCTGCCTCTTCATCCTGATTTTATTTTCTTTTTAAATCAGGTGGATGAGGAGATTCCAATTATTTCTGTAAAGAAGGGAACTTGGCAGTTCAGAAAATATATCTCTGTGAAGAAATGAAGAGCTTGTAATAGTGACCAGAGAAGTTCAAAACAAAGTAGGAGGGAAGAGACTTCATTGCAGCATTATTTTCAAACTAAAGCTTTCAATGTACCTTTCATACACTGCTGGTAGAAATGTAAAATAGTACGGTCATTTTGGAAAACAGTTTGGCAGTTCTTCAAAAAGTTAATTTAAACACAGAGTTACCACACAATCCAACAACTCCACCTAGGTATATGCCCAGGAGACTTGAAAACGTATATCCACACAAAAACTTGCATATGAATGTTTATAGCAGCAGTATTCATAGGGCAAAGATGGAAACAAGTCAAATGTCCATCAAATTATGAATGCAAATATAAATAAGTATGGCATATACAGTGGGCTACATTATACAATGGAACAGTATTCAGTTATAAAAAGGAGCAAGTATCGGTACACCCTATAACATGGATAAACCTTGAAAATACAGTAAATGAAAGAAGGCAGACACAAAAGGCCACACATTGTACACTTCCACATATACGAACTGCTCAGAATAGGATATTACACACAGAAAGGAAATAGATGAATGGTTTAAAGGAAACAGATTAATCCCAGGAGTTGGGAGAGGAAGAAATGAGGAGCGATTGCTGATGGATGCAGGGTTTTCTTATGAGGTGATGAAAATGTCCTAGAATTAAACACTGGTGATGTTTGTACAATATATTAAAACCCACAGAGTTGTATACTTTTAAAGGATGAATTTTATGATGTGTAAGTTATATCTCAATTTTTTAAATGAAGGAAAAAAAGAAAGCTAAAAACTAATTTCCTAAGGGAAATCTTGAAATGAGAAAAAACAAATCCATACATCAGTGTGAAAGCATGTCTTATAAACAGACATCTCAACAAATTCTGATTTGATGAAAAACATGTGAACATTTCAGTGGTATTACTACTGATGAAGGTAATTATTCTGGCAAAGAGGGACTTCTGAGGAACAGAAGTTAAGAGAATTGCCAATGGAGAGAAAGACCTAGATTAAGAGTCTGGTTTTAACACTTTCCAACTGTGTGTGGCCTTGGACAAGCCATGTAATCTTTCCATGACTCAGTTTCCTTTCCTGTAGAGTAGGAATAATAACCTCTCAAAAGTTCTTATAAACCAGCTGAATAAAGTAACAAATGTAAAAGGTTTAGCAAACTGCCATGGACAAAGTAAACACTCAAATATTTACACAGAAATAGATAATGTGTAATACTGTGTAATACCATCAAATAATGTTCCCAAAATACAAATATAAAGAAAAACAATTTAAAAGGGTAACATGTATAGGAGGGTCATGGAGCAGCAATGTGGCACATGAGGGAACTGGCTTTTGAAAAAAATTTTAAAATATGGAAAATAAAATCTACCCCTGTTTTCTACACATTCCAGCTTTTCAGGATAGTTCCAGTAGAGCTTATTTAAAAGCAAATTATCTCTTAATCACAAAGAGGCTTTTATTGAATTGAAAGCTGGGCCTTCTATACGTTGAAAAAGTCAGTGGAGGAACTTTCATGGTGGTCCAGTGGTTAACACTTCACCTTCCAATGCAGGGGATAAGAGTTGGATCCCTGGTCAGGGAGTTAAGATCCCATATGCCTCTCCATCAAAAAACCAAACCATGAAACAGAAGCAATGTTGTAACAAACACAACAAACACTTAAAAAAAGAAAAGTCAATGGAACACAATATTGCAATCAACTATACTTCAATTAAAAGGAAAAAGAAAAAGTTGGTGAGACAGTATTCCAGGAGTGGCTTATCAGAGTTCTCATACTTACTGGTGTTTGTTTACCTGGAAGGCCAGTAAACGTGCAGATTTCCAGGCCCCATCCCAGAGATTCTGATTCAACAGATCTGGGATAGAGCCTGAGAATCTCATTTCCAACCAGCTCTTGGATGATGCCAATGCTGCTGGTCCAAGCACCAGACTTTGTGGGACACTAGCTTGGATGACACAACATTCTAATAGCTCAATTCCTTTTTTAAAAAAAGTGAATTATCTCACTTTGGAGCAGGTTTTAGGAACTATGATTACCTTAGTAATCAGGAAAGGAATGAAAGAAAGAAACAGGGTGATTAAAAATAACAGCTAGTATTTACTAAGTGCTTACACACATATGAAGCATCATTCTAAATACTCTACATTGCTTTATTTGATCAATTCCTCCTAGCTACTTTATGAGGTAGGTACTCTTATCCTATCCCCATGTTATAAATAAGGACAGTCAGCCCCACAGAGGTTGAGCAATTTGTCCAATATTATATAGTCTGTGTGTTTTGCCATTTATGCACTGTTGAAATTTTTAAAATCCAATAGAATCCATAATATCCACTTGCTGATGTAACCGGAGAAGGCAATGGCAACCCACTCCAATACTTTCGCCTGGAAAATCCCATGGACAGAGGAGCCTGGTAGGCTGCAGTCCATGGGGTCGCTAAGAGTAAGACACAACTGAGCAACTTAGCAGCAGCAGCAGCAGCTGATATAACTGTATATATGTGTGTTGTATCTGTGTATCAGATAAAGATAAATAAAAGACAATTCTTTGAAAGTCTCAAAATTCTAGAAGTATAAAAACGAGAAAAAGATCATTTCACTGAAAAGCCATAATTTCTATTTTACAAACATATATTAATCTTCTTTTTCAAAATGATAATCACTCTTCTCTTAAAACAGACATTTAATGAATTTCACATAATCTGACTCCTCAGAACTGAAATTATCTTTCTCTAGCCACTTCCTCTTTATTTAAGGACAACAATAGCCAAAATTCCCAGAAGTCAGATTTAACTTTCATTTTAAAACCATCTAGTGATAGAAGTGCTTATAAATCAAAACTATTTGAAACATTGTTTGGTTAATGAATGATCTTCTATTGAAAGATTAATGAGTAAAGATTACATACCTTGTTTTTAAAATAAACCTCAATTGGCAAAATGAAACCAGCATACCCAGATTCTTCTACTTTGTAAGGTGGATCTTTGCACACTGAAACATTAAAAAAAAAAAAAAAGAATATGTGAGATGAACGTTATAGGCAAAAAGACATTCTTCTTTCCTTTAAAAACAAGAAGAAATAAATAAATAAATCCCATCCTTCCACCTACATCATTCTCAATTTTCATGGCACCTTGCCAAGCCCCAACTAACTCTCTTAGTTATTCTTCATTTCTTGTTTAGAATCTACAATAATAATATTCTTATATAAATCAAATACATTAGTTATTTATTCAAGGCTTGATAAGGAATAGAGCACCAGATCAGCCATAGTCATGAATGACTTGACCTCAGTTATTAAACCCTGTCCTAACGCTTTAGGGAAACTGAGGACAGTTCCTTGTGACCCAACGCTTGAAAGCAACTATCAGTTTCCTAACAAACATACTATCTATGCCTAGTCTGTGATGTGTATCACTCTACCCCAAACCTCTCAGTTCTCTGAGATATTCTAATTTTCATATCAAAAAGTGGCAGGACCACCCTCCTTCCTTAGAAAAATCCCAAACCCAGTATCTCCCAATGTCATTAAGACTCACTATTCTCCATTACCTCCACCAAAGAATATTTAATGAAATATTATGATACATATAAACACTTCAAATCTATTTATATCATAAGAATACATAAGAAACAATAAGGTTTTTGTATTCTTATGAAGAAAGACTTGTTTAGACTTGGGGAAGGAGATATGCCCTAAGTAGCTAAATATGATTCACCCCACTAAAATTTCCATTCATTCAAAATCAATCACAAGCCAACTGAAACTACTCTAGCTAAGACTGCATATTGGCAGTGAGTATCATAAACAAGTAGAAATGCACATGCTGTACATTTAGACCATATAGCACTAACCCAGTTCTGCAGGGCTCCAATCTACCTTTTCAACCTTCCTCCTTTTATTACCCACCAAACCTCTTATGCTGCATCCAACTGCATTGATTCACCACCAACAGGCCCAGTATTTCCCACCTATACTCTGTCCTCTTCCTGTCTCTCATACTTTGATGCTACTCTTATTATCTTCTGCTAGTTCCAATCCCAGTTTCCTCACAAAGCCTTTCCAGCCCACAAGGTACTATCATCTCTTCTCTCTTTACCTTCCTGAAGTATTAACTGTCTGAAGCATTGGCTTGACACTTAACAAACTTCTTATTATCATATATTCAGGGACCTCATCTCTAATTCCCTTTCACTCCTTAAGGACAGAAACATTTACTCAGGAACATGAAGAGTGTCCAGGGCTCGGGTATACCTGGATGCCAACCTGGGATCCATCTCGAATTAGCCAGGCCACCTTTGAAAGTTACACCAGTCCTCTGAGCCTCAGGTGCCTCATCTGGACCGTGTAAGGATCAAACAGGATGATGTATGTAGGAGACCCAGCACAGGTCCTGGCACACACAGTTCTCAAGATGCGACAGAAGCGAGGCAGGAACTCTAACCTGTACAATACCCAATGGTCATGTAACTTTTTCCGATGAAAACAGAAAAAAGAAAACAAGTACAAAGCCTTGGATTTGGATTAGAAGACTGAATTCCATGGCCCTGGACTAAGGATTCTCTAAACAGCTCCAGCTCTATCCCTTTTAAAAGGGAGGGACAGGTACACAGTGCTATATTTAAAACGGATAAGCAACAAGGACCTACCGTAGAGCCCAGGGAACTGCTTAATGTTATGCGACAGCCTGGATGGGAGGGGAGTTTGGGGGAAAATGGATACATGTATATGAATGGCTGAGTCCCTTTGCAGTCCACCTGAAACACTCACTATTAATCGGCACTACTCCAATATAAAGTAAAAGTTTAATGTTAAAAAAAAAAAGAAAGAGAATAGGAATTAAATAAATAATTTTTAAAAGAGAGAAAGAATACCACGTGTACATTGTAAGCACGGCTGTCAAGACTCAAGATTATATATGTGGGGAAATACAAGTCTAAGGCATTTTTAATGCAGAAGATGAAGATGATGTACTTAAAAATTGGTTAGACATTCCATGAATACAAATACGATTACAAACAGTTATACTGAAGGCAGGATTTTAACATTAGGCTATCTCCTGTAGCCCACTTTAGGAAAATTTCCCCAAACTGACATCGAAAGAAGTAAATGATGAATGAGGCATCTGACCTGACCTTACAAGTTTCTCTAATAAAAAGTGAAAAAAGCAAAAGGACTCAGAGTGGCTTCAGCCCATCATCCACTGACCACCTGCCAATCTATCATGAATTATCAAATACCCTGAACGTTGAGTGGGGGCGGGATGCCACTAAATGCATGGGCACCCCCACCCCACCCCACCCAGAAAGCTAGTATTACACCCATGACATTTCCAGGCTGCAAGCTTCTTTTCAGAACAGCAGTTTCACTGGCCAGGTTGCCTGGGATTTAATCATGCCAATGTCATTTGAAGGAAGTTTATTCTGTGGGCTGCTGTACATGCCGGAGAAGTTATAGCTATTCTTCTATACACCCTTTTGTATAATTCATTTTCTCTATTCTGCATGCAAATTGCTCCTATTATAGAAAACAGCTGTTAATAAGCACATCTTATAGTTGACAGTCTTAGTTTTCTTTTTTTTCCACCCTCTAAGGGAAATGATCTGTTATGTATTACTATTCTATAGAAGCCTGGTTTTATAAAAACTGTTTACCAACTCATACCTCAATTATTTTTAAATGCAGTATTTTTCATCAAAATGAACAATGTCTGTTGAATACCCTGAGTTCTTAATTAGAAGCAAACAACAGAAACGTTTTATTCACAGTAAACAGGACAGAAAATCAGTAGCAGTGCAAATACAAACTTACAGTTCTAATGTGAAAAAAAGTCAAATTGGGGGAAGTAGTTTGGTTTATCTCTTCAACTGTTTTATAATCAGAATCATGAACATGAGTCTCTAATCCTAAGAATCTATTAAGATCTATGTAATAAGATGCCAAATGTCATAAGTTATTGAGGGTATACCCATCTTTAGAAAGCCATCAAATTTTTTTAGGTGACAATAAAATGAGAGATTCATATTCACTTTTAAATTATATGCATTAATTCAGTAGAAATCACTGGGATCTCTTACTCCTTTCGAAATCCAGCCCAGATGTTAGCTCTTTCAGAACGTCTCCCTGTTTCTCTTCCAAGCTTCTCCTGCTGCACTTATGAGGCAGGCTGATAATATTCATTCATCTCTCAGACTCCTCACTAGACTAAGCAACGTAAGGTCAGCGATACCACCATTATTATTTGAGCACCAAATAATAGGTGCTCAATAAATGTTGAATTGAATTTCTTAAAAGATTCACGCCACTCTTGATTTTGGGGTTAGTCAATGCAAACTAGTATATGTAGAACAGATAAACAACAAGATCCTACTGTATAGTATAGCACAGGGAACTATATTCAATATGCTGTGATAAGTCATAATGGAAAAGGATACAAAAAAGAGTGTATGTATATGTGTAACCAAATCACTCTGCGGTACAACAGAAATTAACACAACATTATGAATCAACTACATTTCAATTTTAAAAAAAGACTCATGCCACTCTTTGCTGATCTACCATTGCTAAAGAAGTTACAATTCCACAAGCAGCAATGAACTGATATTAACCAGTCAAATTCCTCTCCAAACTCCCTACAATCAACATAACATTATAAAAATGGTAGAAGTGATAAAAAGTATTGCCACAGAGAGGTCTTCTCTTGAAAGTTGAGAACTGGTTCTAACTTTTGTTAAGGACATGCCCCAGCTGCCCACCGATAATTATTGCTTTTACTTTATTCATTGTGCTAAGCCCTCTAGAAAGGAAACATACTAAACTCTCTCTGGTTTATGTAGAGACTGGTTATTACCATGGCTTTGGGCCCAATGTCCCTTCCAGTTTTAGCATTTTGGACTCCTTCTCTTCCTGCTTCCGTTGCACCACATCAGAGCCCCTAAGAAAAGTGAAGCAGGTACTAATATGGCCATCTTGCTGTCCCCAACTGTTCTGTGCATCTAGGATTAACATCTAGGTTGGGCATCGCCCTGCCACTGAACATGACCAAGACTTTACATTCCTGACATTTTGAAAAGAACAAGAATCAACAGTTGGATTTTTTGTTTTCATAAGCACATGCATACATGTGTGCATGCATACACACACACACAGAGATTCTGCCATTGCTTCTATTCAGCCCATTTCAAAACAAGTATTTCCAAATAATGAAAAAAAAATGTTTTCCCACTTTGTGTCACTTCCTTATTTCCCTGAAAATGTATTAAAGATAACATCAGGCAATTCATGAACTGTATTGTTGAGTTGTTTTTACCTTGTTGACTTTTTTTTTTCAAATTCAAATGCAATCGGGAAAATCTAATTGTTTTCTATGCAGTAGAGAACAGTGGCCACATGAGATAACTGCCCAAATAACTTTCACACAGTTATAAAGAAGCAAGCTAGATATAGTTAGCTAGCTGGGCAGATGTGAAATACATGGCCTCCTCAGGATTCACCGCTCCAGGACCAACTCAAATAGACCTCAGGTGGAAAACCTTCAGCCAATACTCCACAACAAAAATGGCCCTGTCCCTCTTCTGGGTTCAGCCTTTTTTCTCATTGATCCCATTAGCTAATCCTAATAGACAAGCTATGACCAAGCCCCACCCTCACACTAGATTAATTCTGGGCTTTCCAATGGCTAAGGTTGCCTCTCAGGCCTCTTTTCATCTCTGAACCCAGCCTACTCTTTATGAAACGGAGTAGAATTAATAAAATGTAACTTTAGTATGACCTCGAAGGAAGGGATATAGCAAGCCTGGAAGTTGAGAAGAAATGCCTGGGTGGCAAATAGAAAGTATGAGCCTGAGTTCTGCATCTGGAAAGTTACAGCGTAACAGAATAGTCAGTATAAGAAGAAACACTGAAAATGATGAAGACAAAAACGGGTAATAGGGAAGAAGCTTATATACTTCCATAGAGAATTCACACCACACACACTTAGAAATTCACA